GATAACTTAATTATAAAAAATAAATCAATTAAGATGGGCCAAGTGGGTTGGGTTTTTGGGCCCATAATCTCATGGCATCATGCGCCACTCTGGCCATCTATTCCAAAATTTGGCTAAGTATTGGAGCCACCCACATGAAGTGTCGAGGGGAGAGGGCACCATACGGCCACCCCCATGATGTGCCGGGGGGACATCATACAGCCACCCCCATGACGGGGTGAGGGGGGTGGCCACCATACCGCCACCCTCATGATGTGCCGAGGGGGGTGGCTACCATACTGCCACCCATGATGTGGTGGTGGGGTTGATTGACATATTGCCCTCATGATATGAATATGAGGAGGCCAACAAACCACCCCCATGAGATGCAATACCATGGAGTGAAATATGACTAAGTATGAAGAATAATGACTTGTTGGAGCTCCCATGATGTGGTGACCACCCCCTTCAACATATGACCCCCATGATCTGTGATTGATTATATTCGATTGAGGTTTTAATGATTGAATGACTTGAATCCTGATCAAATTCCTATTGTTTCTACTTTAACCTAGAATGAGAATATCTGCCTAGGTTAATAGAGTATCCTTGATTGAAGGTAGGGAGTTGGTGACTTTAGTCGAGGAGCCAACTCACTATTCTGTACCGGATTTACTCCGGTAGTGGAGGTTTTGTTCTTAGGGCCTCAATCTGTCGACTCCGGTGGAGGTTAGTCGCCCGCTAGAGAGTCAGATTGAGAGGGTCTGAAGACCTTTAGTCGAGACTTCAGGCTGTTTAAGAACCTTCCGCAGTATAACCATCATAGAAACTGAACTTGGTAATTACAATCCGGCTTAACTGCAGTCTAGGGGGAACCATATCCGGGTGACCTCTTTAACCTGAATACAACAGTTTACTTGCTTTGTTTGTTTGGTAGTTTAGACTTGCATGCCAGTTTCATTGCTAGATAACAAGAATTCACTGAGTAGTCATCAGATCTAGGACCCGGGTTGATAATTAAACCCAAACCCGCTATACTACGCTTTAGGAAGTGGTTTCACTTGGCCAATTCCTGGAGTGACAGTAGAGTCGAGTCAACCGTCACTCCACGTCATCAGAGCAATTTCTCGAGGCAGTTACTTCTAGTGGCTATAAATAGGAGGTCTTTCATGAAGGAGTCTGCTAAGTCGTTCCGCTTCTTCAACTTCGAGTGCTCCAAGGAGGTGTACCATCGCAACGCAGTTTAAGATGGAAGAGAAAGGGTTCGCCAAAATTACACCAGAAAAAACAATGTCAAATTTTATCCGTCACTCTTTTCCTCTGCAAACTTAGTCATAATTGTATTTTTGGAGCTCTCACTGAATCTCCATATGAGTAGGGCTAATTTTACGTAGATTTGCCTCGTAGTTATCAAAAACATGAACACCCTTGTTTTAACTTTGTTCAAAGAGGTTTGAACTGTGTTGTTCAATCGTTTGTTTGGAAGTCAAAAGGTGCAATTCAATTATGCTCATCTAGATTTTCTCATCGGGAAAACAAATTGGCACACCTGGTGGTACGCGTGTGTTCGTTTTGATGGCGTCGAGGTGGAGGAATCAAGAAGGTGACGCTCCAGTTGATTTTGTGGAGGATTAGATGTCCAACATTAAACATGGCCAAGTATCAGAGGTGGTAGCTAGAAACAATGGTGGGGCTGAGATCCTTCCAACGACGATGCCTAGTGGAGATATTGGTGAAGCCGTGGGGGTACTTTGCCAAATAATGGAGGAGAACTGCAAGCTAGTGGCAGAGAACCGTCAAGCCACAGAGGAGAACCGCCAAATGATGGTGGAGAATAGTCGCATGATAAAGGAGGCTAGAGCGTCTTCTCATTAGGTAAACTCCCAAATGGGTTTTCTTAATTCTATAGTAGATAGACTCTAATTCAATTAAACATAATCCAAGTAGTATGTAATGATCTCTATGGCGTTAAACAAAACTTGTTGATGGCTACTGGTTCACCTAGAATGATACCCAAACAAAACTTTCCACTCAACAATCTAACATGCAACACCTAGTTAGTTAGCATGAACCGCTTGGATTGAACGACCAAAAAAATCAAGAAAGATTCAGCCGAGCACTGGTTTTCAGTACCAAACATAAATAGGATAATACAATTAGTTGTCTTTGAATTGGAATGTTGACAGCCAGCCTGCAGCAATGTCGAAGAAAGTAACACAAATTCAGCATTACTTACCGCTACTACTATAAGTCCTTTGGATGCATCAGAGTTGGAAACATCTCTCGACTGGTTTTGAGGTTGTGAAACAGGCTACAGCTCTCCTTTTGTTGTATGAAACCCCTAATGCGACAGGTGAGATCAAGAGAATGGGTGAACAAATGTTGGTTCTAGTAGTATGAAGAAACCCTCGGCGAAAAATTGGAACGGAAAGATCGGGAATCATGATCCGTAGAAAGGAACAAAGTCGGCGAGACTTGGCTAATTGCCAGCCCGTTCACGAAGGGGAGATTGGAGGGGAATGGAGGAAAATTACGGCAGTACGACACAATATATGAGGTGTAGGGAGACCTACGGTGGACATGCTCCCATCCCACCAAACCCCTAAAGTAAAACTTGTCAATTAATATATCTAATAATAATAATCTAATAACTAATAATACTTGTGTTTCCCGAGAAACCACCGCCGACGTTCCAAACGCCGATGTTGATTTGATGTTTCGCGATGGAAACTCCTCCGGTGCCGTTTGATTGGACGCACCACTAAATGTTGAAATCAACGTGACCATCAAATATCCACCGCCTGGCGATGTTGATTTGATCGGTGCAACTCTGACTTCTAACCAACGCAACCGTTACTACGGTTCACACCTCTCCAAACTACGTTCGAACGAGGGTGTTTGAGTTTTTAAGAATCTACGTTAAAACTACTCCTATGGAGATTCCTGTGGAGAGCTCTGCGACGACGACTACTACTACTACTACTACTACTACTACTACTACTACTACTACGACTATGGAGATCCTTCCTGGTAGGAGAGCTCCGCGAGGGAGAGATAGAGAAAAGGTTAAGTTTGGAAAAGAGTTGTTCTTTGTTGATTTGGTTGTCCTTCCTCTCTCCTTGCTCCACTGCTTTTATTCGAAAAGCATCTTCTTAGTCTTCACGCTCCGTGAAACCGCTTCCCCCAACTGCTCCGTTGTGAACTCCCACGTGTCTCAACCACCTTAATCTCCTCCTCGCTCTAGTTGGCGTGAATCTGACGCGAAAGATAACACCTTCGATGCAACGTTGTAGTCTTCAACGGCACTGCAACTCCAATCTCCACTTCTATCCACATGAGACACACGTGTAAAGTACCTAAGCCCAGGATCGGTATCGCGGTTCGAACCGCGACGTTGTTATTTCATGACTGCAATATCGTCATGGATTTTATCCACAAAACCATATTATTAATTGGAATCACGCCCTTGCAAGACCCACACCGGTGTTGCTAATTAAACAACGGCGTTGTTTAACTCCACGCCATTATCAGACTCGCAACATTGTCTAGCTAACCTCGCGGCATCGCTGAGATCGGTGTTGTTACCCATCGCGATGTCGTTGAGCTCGCATCACTGTCAAATTCACAAATTGAATTTATTTAGCTCCGCGACATTGTTGAACTTGCAATACCGTTGAAATTGTTTATCATGCGGCGTCGTTGGTTCTCACGCGACGTCGTTTCTTCCCCAAACAACTTTGTCTGCTTTTCACCCCACGACATTATTTTAATATTAAACGGTGTTGTTTCTCTCCTTCTCCGACAATGAATAAAAAGCATCCTTTTCCAACGGCAACACCAGCATTGCAAAGCGAATGAATTTGTCACCCATGGCTTACGACATTGTTTTTCACTAAACGATGTCATTTCAAGTACCGTGGTGTTGTTGGGCTTACTCGCGACATTGTTTTCAACTAAACGACACCGTCCAATATATTCATTAAAAATATTAATTAATTAAACTGAACATCATTGTTGACTCGCAGTTAAACTCTCACCCATCGGCGCCGTTCTTAGTTAAACAACATCATTTTCTAGCCCCGCGAAGTTGTTGAGTTTCACGACACCGTTTTCACTACCGCGACATTGTTTTTACTAAACATTGTCGTTTCTTATTACAGCGGTGCCGTTGGGGCTTGACTTCTCGCGGTATCGTTTTATTTTACTAAACAACACCGTTTCTATTCCCTCACGATGATGTTGGTCACGCCACCAGCAGTGTTGTTTTAGGTCCTTTACAAAATCCTCTCCTTCGGTAGGGAATAAAGAGCACTACTTTTCCAACTCCAACACCAACACTGCAATTGTTTTCTACTAAACAATGTCGTTTGTGTTGAATCTTACTCACAGTGTCATTTAACCCCTCTGCGGCGTTGCTTGTCTCTCAACGATGTCGTTTTTATCATGCGACATCGAATTAAATGCCGAGACTCATTATTACGACATTGAATTTACGCCAAAAATATTTTAGGTGTAAACAACTTGAGATACTCTAAAAAAGTACGGGAAACTATTAGTTTTCAATCCAAACTAAGCAGTTCACCGATGCGATGGATGACTGTTGCATGTTGGTGGTCGCAGTGAGAGCCCTGGAGCAACTGCACTCCACATGGAGAGTAGAGCTCTATTGTGACTCGATGATGACCAATGTTCCAATCCAACTGAAGTCATTTTGTAGTGTATCTCAACTCTTTTCTAGTGATTTTGTGCAAACACACAAGTTTACTGCGAGTGTTGATAGACGACACCCAAATAATATTTAGTTTAGTCTCCATATCTATACCTACGAAATCGTCTGAGTTAACAGTAACACTCGATGTCCATATATATCGGGTGTTCATATGTATACGTTAAATACTCGATTCTCACATGATCATCACCCATCTATTTTTGAACATTTTAACGTTTGGCTAAGGAGGAGATCAAGAGTATTGGGTCATTGGTTTGGCCTTTAAGAGGTTTAGGACCTTGATGAATTTTAACACTTAACCCAATATTCATTCATCCATGGGGTTTCCGGTGAATTTAGAGGGCCGAATGCTTTTTCTGTTGTCAATTACTTCCCAATCGCGATGAACCCTAACGTCCGTTTTTGCACCATCGCCTTGACCGACCGTTTCTGAGGGTCAACTGTAAATCCCTTTCTACGTTCAACAGCAGCAATCACTTCTGCCGCAACGACTAACGACCAAAATGCAAGATAGACATCACTCGCCGGCCAACTTCATCATAAAAGACCTTCCGATTACCTCTGGCACTCGTCTTTTCAACTACGGCAGTCGCCGGTAACCCTAGGACTAAAAATTCACATGTATGAACACGCTTCCTTTCAATTAGCAAAAGCTACACAAGTGTTCAATTACATTCTTACAAACCACAACCGGAATTCAGCTACCTCAATCAACCTTCTGTACATGGGTACGAAAAATACATAAGAAAAAGAATTGGGTTATGTTATTATTTCGTCAGACCCAGTAAAAAATAAAAGGAGCAATCTTTTCATCTCTTTCGCCTCTGTTTCTTCAGATGGAGATACTATTTGGAACCCCTTTCCCAGTAAGCCCACCTTCCCTCGAGTAATCCGATGTATTCGGGGACAACAACGTATAAGGAACCTTCACCGGCCCAACTCTGTTCTTCAATTTCGGATTACTATTCATTTCCGTAATCCGCCCCTCGATCCCCATTAACCTCTTCCCAAATCGCCTGAACGCCGCCAGCGGTTCCTCATCGCAGGTCCACTCGTCGCTCTCCCTCTGCCCAAGGTAAATCTCGTCCGTCGAATGCCTCGATAGAATCTCGATTAGCGATACCCCAAGCAAAGTCTGTAACTGTGCTGTAATCGTCTTCAAATAACCCAACTCCGGGTCTTGCTCCAGCTCCCGGTACTCCGGCGTCCCCGGCTCCGGCATGAACCGCCGGCTAATTGTGGGACGGTTGGGAAGGAAGCCTGGATAAGGGTACTGCCCGAAATTCACTGCTGCGTGGAGCGCTGAAGCTACCCATATGATGATTGTGCATGTTTGTTTGAGGTCGACTCTTGTCTGCATTTTGGGCCACCATGGCTCGTCTCTCTTGTCTCCGTGGCCTTCGTTGCGTAGCTCTAACCACCACGATTGGAGTTCCTCGTCGGTTTGGACTAATTCGTCTGTTGGGTAGTAGAAGTCGCAGTATTCCTGTACCCATGTCTCGATTGCTGACCATATCTCCAGCCCATCGACTGCATATGGGTAGTCCTCTATCAGAACCTTGAGGCCATGTGGCTTGGTTTCGTCTGGCACTGCTATGCCTCTGAAATTGGAGAAAAGTTGTAAGCTATGAGAATGAATGCAAGAAGTCAAATTTGATGGGAGTGCTATTACCTCTTTATAAGATCGGCAGGGAGTGCCTGTTCAGTGAAGACCCAATTCTTATACAGAACAGCAGATATTTCCATGGAGTATCTTGCTGGGAACACAGTGATTTCCAGCATCCCACTAGCATTGATCAGAATCTGTCTTGCCAGTGCATTTATGTTCATCGTGTCACAGAAATGTGGCTGCAGAAGCTTGTGGATCGGGTGGAGAACGCTCAGCTGCCTGTTCGTCGCAATTATGAAAGGTTCAATCACAGCATGAGTGTTCAGCCAGTGACTGATCAGCTGATGATATCCAGAATCATTCACTGCGGCATAAGCTTTGGCTAGCTGCCAAATTGAGCCATCGACTGTTCCATCTTCTGCTGGAGTGAATACTCTGCTGACTGCACCACGATAGTCCCCCTGAGGATGTAGGAGGCTCAGTTCGATTGCTAATGGCTTCAATGTTCCATCGTCTTGAAGGAACAGAATCGTTCTGGTGGCGTAAGTCTTTGTGTTGGTCGAGTTTATCTTCCTCAAGTATATCATCAGTGCATCGTGATGGTCCAATATGAACAGCCTGTTGCTTTCTATTGCCTGCAAGCAGCAGGGAAATTTTGAAACCATGCAATTAGGGGAAAATGAATAAATGATAATCTCTGATTTGACGTATCATGATTTGGTTTGGTGTACTTTACTTGGTCGACGGTGAGTCCATTCATGTTGACTTCGATGTCTTCCTTTTTTATTGTGCTATGCTGGTTTCCGTATTGTTTAGGGTATAGCTGGCTAGCTGGTTGGAACTCCTGCAGAAAATTCATATGTTATCTCCGTTGTGAGTCCAATGAGATTAAGTGCTTAACATATAAATGAGTTTATATATTTGGTTTAGCTAATTATATTGGTTCTTACTTGTAGGCGGCTGATGATGACTGGGTTGACACCAGCAAGCATCTCTCGAGCAAACTCTTCATCAGTCCTCCATGCAGACTTGTCCTCTGCAATTCATCATTCCCCCATGGTAAGTAGCTTTACTTATGGTGTGTTTGGCTAAAACATAACTTGAAAAAGAGTTGAGACTTCATACCTTTGATTACTTCAGGAATGGGGAACTTGAGAAACCTCTCACCATCATTGCGAACAAGTTCCTTCAGTAATTCCCAAGGTATGCGATTTCTTACTTTGCTTACAGTGGCCTTACCTGGCAGCTTGATGCCGCCATTATAGAGGTCAAAAACATCCTCGAAACAATCGAATTCATTGATCGTCTTGTCGCATATAGACGAAATCTCCGGGAGAAGTACTTGAGCAATAGATTTCAGAGCATATGCTAAGAAATCTGAGAACTTCACATGTCCAAACCGTTCATCCCTAGGTACGTATATGTCCAGGCTTAGAAGTGGCAATCTGCTCTCTGACTTGTGATCTGTCATGAACACATGCAAAACCAGGTTAAGGTGTCTAGTAGAACTTAGAAAAGTTTAGATGATTTGACACCATTTTCTAACCTTTTTTGGTTGGCTTTCGTCCTGTTCATCCTCTTCTGGGATAGGGATACTCCTTGGATCCACCAAGAACAGGGCGCGCATAGGCTTCACCCTTATCTGGACTACCCAGATCATTGTAGTAAGCATAGTCATAAACTCTGTCCCATTCTTTCAGCTGTCCTTTCCCATTTCCTCTCAGGTTAACAAGTTCTTGTTCTCTCAATTGGCGCAATGGTTCTGGCGTTTGACATGGTAGGTATGTCTGAACCCAGACAGAATTTGACAAAAATGGTTGTTAGGAGATGGAGAATATTTTACTAACCCATTAACTAGAGTTTGTTTATTTTGCAAGTTTAGGTTAATCTTAAAACTCCTACTATTCTAATCGTCATATTGGGAGACAATATTGTCATGCACAAACACTAAAGTTGAGTCCTTTAATGGCAAAAGCAAAAGTGGCTATGAAGTCGAATCATTGTGCACTTAATGGCACAATAACATTGGAAAAAGTTGCTGCCAGAGAGTTCCTAGGAACTTTCAAAGAGATCGATTGTATTACCTTGTTTGAGAAGAAAACGCGGTCCTATTTGTATCTGTGAGCAGGATAGACCCATGAATTGCAGATGAAATGAATTCAGCCATGGCCCGGGAAATCGTCTAAAGTTAAGGTCTTGAGGTAGAATTAACTGTGGTGATGGTTTCTGATGATGAAAGCTCCAGCTACGCCCATGGTGGAGTGATCCCAATTGAAGGTAATGGAAAAACTAGTCTCAGTAGCTGTTAAAGGTGTCGTCCTGTGAACCCATTTCTCCAAGAAGGCTGCTTTCCCAATCATGCCCCTCCATCCATTCTCTGGAGGAAATTGCCAGCAAACACCACCGTAGTTACCTTTGTCTACGTTGATAAGCAAACAAGAAACAGGAGCGAGCTTTGAAATGGCTCGTAGAAAGTCTGTTGGATTGGGACTGGGGAATACCAGAAGAAGATACCAAAGTCTTTTCCTTTTTTGTTTTCATTCAAGAAACTTTTTCATTGATGGGTGCATTCTATTCAATGCAGGGGGGAGAGGAAAGGAGAAAAGGGCTGACCTGGATCCGGATGAACAGAGCTGATAAGGTGGATGGAGATGCCTTTGCCGAGAAGCTCATGAATTCGATCGAGGCACGAAGCTTTGACGTCGTGCAGGTCCAGAACGTTCTTCTTCATCAAAACAACCGTCCCCATGATCTTATTGCTACTGCTGGTGCTGCCATTCTCGAGGATGGCAACATCTCTGGGCTGCACACAGCAAGTTTCCATGACTTTCTGCAACATTTTTTCCTGCTCGATCGGAGCTGTCGGCTTGGAAGGGAGGAAGGAGAAGAGATGGAATGATGAAGGAAGTAAGATTCGAAGAGTAAGTGGAAGTTGGATTTGTGGGGAGGGAGGGTACAAAAGAGAATGGAGTGGAGGGTTTGGTTATGTACTTTATACAGGAAGACATAGTTGATTAACAAGGGATTGTTACTTGTTAATGTCAATAAATGAAATGAGAGTGTTTCACTGTTTTGTTTGTGCTCATTGGTTTCTTGACTGTGGCCTGGGGTCTGGGATGGGCATTAAATGAAAGGAACTTCATGGGGCCAAGTGGAGCAGAGTTTCATAAAATGATTAAAGAAAAAGGGTTAAAATAATGAATTTCTTACGTTGGACAATGGAACCAACAAAAACACTTGTGTAAAAGTTTTTAACCTTTCGATCAAAAAAAAAAAACAGTTTTTAACTTTCGGTTAATTTTTTGCAAAATACATTTGTATAGCCAAAAAATTTTGGAGTTTGTAACAATAATAATCACTTTGAATAAATACACAAAATAGCCAATTTCGTCCAATAGTTTAACGATGTCAGTTAACAAGCTGACTGGACTAACAGAGAAACTGATTTGACGATATTTTAATTAGTGATAATTCACATTAATTAAATCATATTTAATAAAGTAATAAAGTTACTTGAAAAAAGAGGTAGGTGAAGAGCCCTATCTCTTCTTCACTATGCTTCGACCACTTTCAACACGCCACACCCCGTCGACGTCGAAGGCCTTCTTCTTCTTCTCGATTTTTTTTCATTTTTCTTCTTCTTCCTGATTTGTTTCTCACCATTCAAGCATCTCATCTCGCTCAATTCACTCCACTTCCCAGACCCACTATAGCAATCTCTGTCAAAATACTCAACATTAGCCAACCCAAATCTTTGCCGCCACTGGGAAGCGCCGCCTCCTCTCGCCGTTACCATCTCCTTCCATTATTTATGCTACCCCTAGATCTATCCAAGTCGTGATATGAGGGCTACGAGTTGGGAATGACGAGGGGGCTGAACAAAACCACCAAATCTGGGCGGTTTTCAAAGATGCGGCCGCCGAAAATCGACAATGAGCAGAGGGGACAAGCGAATCGCTGGAGCCAAAGCAGTTGATTTTGGAAACTTTCTTGAGGACGCAGAGGTCCTGGGTCTAGCACATGGGCTCCTCAATCTGCTTGGTGACTCTCGGTCTCCGCCACTAGTACTCGGCGGCGACGAACATGGGCAGGGTCAGAGGCGATGTAGAAGAGCAGTGGGGTTTTTAAGAGCGGATCTCGCCACTTGATCGCTACTTGGATCTGTATCCATACCAAATCTTGCCGCATCCTCCTCCTCTGAAGTTAGAAACAGAATCGGCCTGATGAAGGATTGGATTGTGCTTCTGAAACAGTAGGGCACAGTCGGTAGGGGAATTTTCGAATTGGGGATTTTTTGTTTGAATGGTGACACACTAAAACACAACACCAAACTTTTGACCAAGTGTAACCGCAATCCGGAAATGCAGTAAAGTGGCAAGTCCTAATTATCAACCCGGGGTCTAGATCTACTGCCTACTCTGTGAATATCTATTATCTAGTCAACTAAGTTGAGTGATTGTTGTCTTAACTAAAAGCAGTAAGAAAGCAGGAAAAGATTCGGTTTTCTAAAGCAAAGGAAGAGTCACTCAGGAATGAGTCCCCCTAGCTCCTTAGTTAGGTCACAGTTGTAATTACTTTTGGTTGCTTTACTGCTGATTATACTGCGGAAGATCCGACAGTAGCTTGGAATCTCTTAAGCTGACCAAGCCCTCTCAGTCAAACTACCCGACAGACGACTAGTCTTCACCGGGATAGAACGCTGAGACAATGAACACAGAACTCCAGTACTGGAATTAGATTCCAGTACAAAGCAGTGAATCGACTAACTCTCGTATAATCGATTCACTACTACCGATTGAAGAAGCCCTAACAACCTAATCATATTCTATCTATCTCAGGTTGCAGCAGAAATCAATAAAAGATGATCAGACTTCAATTGACTCAATCAAAACACTTCAATCCATTATAATCAAGCAATATCACAATCCAAACGTAATTACAATCAATATTCCTAACACATAGAACTAGGGTTCTTCATACCCAAGTGAGAAAGAGTTCTACTCCATAGAGAGAGAGAGAAAAATAGCAAACAAAGCAGTCATACTCATCAAGATGGGAAGAATCTGCTCTGGGATGATAATCTTCACTCCAAGGATGATTTCCAAGCTTGATTGATGAAACCCGGCCAGCTCCAAAACCACTCTTAGGGGGTGTTCTTCGCACTTTCTCTCTCTAGGGCTCTGTTTTTGCTCCAAAAAATCGATTCCCTCTCCTTTGACTCGAAATTGGGTTAAAACCCAGAAATTCCCGACCACACGGGCAGGCCACATGGCCGTGTGGCTTTTTAGGCGTGCCCGTGTGAGTGTGCAAAACGTCGTGTTTCACTTAAGTGGCTTCAGGTACACTACACGGCCGTGTGGATTTTAGGTGTGCCCGTGTGAGCTCCCTGGACTTTCCACACGACCACAAGGGGTCCCCTACACGGCCAGTGTGGCTTGCCCGTGCAATTTGGTGCCACACGGCCAGGTCACACGGCCGTGTGGGATTTTAGGCGTGCCTGTGTGGCTTTTCCAGCTTTTCGTCAAACGCCCCAACTTCGTCCAATCGACCCCGAACTCGTGCCCAAACCTTCTTTCACGTACTAGGACCTGAAATATAAAAAACAAGAACAACCTAGCGTGAAATCGACCTAAAACACGAGAGATGAGACTCAAATGGTACAGGAATGGTGGATAAAAACATGTGTATATACCAAGTCGTCAAATGGGTTTGTGAATAAGGGATTTTCGAAGAAGAGATAAAGGTGGGAAGAGGAAGAGAAGGGCAACGAAGGTGGTTCTTCTTCTCGATGATTTTCTGGATTTAGTATTCGCGGAGATGGTGGCTGACCTCTGCTCGGTGTCGCTATCAGATTCGGAGAAGGAGATGAATAGTGGAGATTAGGGGAAATTAGAAAAAAGTATTTTTCTATTTTTTTAGTTTCAAAATTATTTATTTTATAAATCAAAATGATATGGCAATGATATTGATGACTTGTCACTGACGTGTGGGGTGATTTGGCATCCTAGTCAGCCTAACGTTAACAAAACTTACGGAAGTTCCTAACACCGTCAAACTTTGTAACGAAATGGCTATATTTGTCATGAAATTTTCAAAATTCTGGCTATTTTGTGTATTTCTCAAAATGTGGCTATTATTGTCACAAACACTAAAGTTTTGACTATACAAATGTATTTTGCCTAGTTTTTTTTTTTTTGTCATTAATATACTTGCGGATAAAACATATATTAAAGGGACACCACAAGGTAACTAATGCCTCTGCGGACTCAAAGTTTGACTGGACACATAAAGTTATACAAACCATTACATAGACCAGAATAAAGAAAGGCACTACGTGCCACAGAATGAGTAGCTCGGTTCATGTCACAAAGTATGTAAGTGAAATGTTGCTAGCATACAGCATCTAGATACTGGTTTCATACATTTTAAACAATTTTTCTCTAAGACGACTGCTCGAGCCGCACTTAGACACCTCAAAATAGTGTGGTATATAATACATAAGAGCAGCGGTGGATCCAGGATATAAGAGAGCACTGGGCCGCATTTGAATAGAATGTTAGATACCATAAACAAAAATATATAATAATATAGTTTTCATTATAATGCCAATCGCACAAGAAGGCATTTTAATTTAGTAAATTCATCAATAATATAATCTCCATCCATACTGTTAATATACTATTTTTCAAAGAAAATAACTAAGTAATCAACGAGAAATTCATTGCTCATTTTGTTGCACAAATCAATGTTCATGTTTCCATTGCTGAAAATATTCTCTCCATGGTAGTTGTTGAAACGGCTAGATCAACACTAGACAAATCAACCGACAAATCAATTTGTATTATGTGTCCATCACTGTTTCCTCCAGCTTCTCTAATAATTTTGCAAGAGAAGAAACTCCATCTTCCTCACATGAGTAGTGCATTCTCCAAACAATGCATTTCATAGCCTTCAAAGTCTTGAGGCTAAACTCTTGAACAAGTTTGTAAATATTTTTTTCATCAAAACACCAGAAAGAACGGTTAGAATCTAGTCTCCCACTCAATTGAGGCAATCTAAATGATGACTCAGCAAGTTTGTAAATATTTTCTTAATCAAAAGAATGGAAAGAAAACCAGCTCGACGGGTTGGCAGAGAAATCCATTTTGGGTCTGCTCGTCTCCTCGTTCTTGTTTTGTTTTGGGGGGGATTGGGAAATTTTTTGAATTTTGCAAGGAAGGGTGTTCTTTAGTTTAGATTTTTTTATTTTATTTTAATGAAACTTACACTTTTAGGTTTTCATGTCTTTTTTCAAATAAAATCATTGGGACTATAGAAATTTTAGTATAAATTTAGAGTAATGGTTTGTATATGTTCATCTGAACCATTTTCCTAGTTACACAAAATCATATTATCAAATAAAAACAGACAGGATTTTAAATAGCATTAAGCCAAATACCTAAATCGAAAAATTTTATAAGCACTAAACTAACTCTGGATCCGGAAGAGGGCTAGGCCGGGGCCTGGGTTGGCCCAGCCCTGGATCCGCCACTGCATAAGAGGTTGCAAAACTCTATATAAATTTAGATTTGAAGGAACATTTTCCCCCATCTTCGTACCAATGGTAATAGGAGTACTCAATGCCCCAACCTCTTTAGCCCTCACTTGCTAAAGGATTTCATTTATAAATTATAAGTAAGTTGCTAGGATCTAGCCATAAATTTTAGGTTACATCATTTTCTACCTAGGTTGAACTAGACTTTTGAATGTACATTTGAGTCGTGTTTAATTATTTAATATAATCTTAAAAATTGTCAAGTTAGCATCAAATTTTATGTTACATAGGAATCTTATTCCTTCGTGGGATGATGGGTCACATATTGAAGACTTTTGTGTATCTTAATCTCAGATGAATTGAATTTTTTATTTTAGTCTGAGTTGAGCTAAACAAACTCATACTTCTATAATGTACTAAGGTAGTAAAATATTTATATTTGAGTTTTTGTCAAGAAATTAACTTAGGTTTAAAGAAGAGAGTTCAAACCTTTCTTATCATCAATATTAACGGTTAATTTAAATACACAGCTTAAACTAATTGTTAGAGTCTTTTTGTGTGAATGAATAAAATCTTAAATGATTAATTTTACGACATTCCACTTTTTTTTCATAGATATTAGTGAAAAGCTAGATATGAAATATACAAGACCTTCTCAAACCAATAAAAAAAAAGTGAAAAAACGTTGGTTGACTAATAACCGAACCAACAATAAAATGACTTATCTTATCACGATATGAGACTCTTAATAAAACGTAACACACTAAAACAAGAAGTCTGCAACACATATACCCCCTTACATAATCGTAGTTTCCGCCACACCCACCTTCTTTCGCCACACCTTCATCTCCCGCCGGATCGTGCTTCTCTTGTTGGGATGAATAGCTTTGAAAAGCTATAATGAAATTCCTAATTAATTATCCAGTATTTTTCCATAATACGAAATTAAGATGGATAATTAATAAAAGGAATATTATGGAGATAATTAGAAATAATTATCTTAATAGATTATATTTTAATTATGGGAGTAATTATCTCCCTAATTAAAATGTGACTTATTCCCAAAGAAAGAGGGAATATTTTGGGTTTTCTGCTCTTATAAATAGGAGATGCCCCAGTCCCTCTAAAAACACCTCAGAGAGCAGAAACACGAGATAGAGAGTGAGTTCATAGAGCTCCGGTTTTCGCACAAAACCGATGAGCAACAAAATTAGAGTGGCTGTTTTATCCTGGAGGCGACCGGCTGATAGTCTGTCGTGCGCATCGAAGGCAGTGCCGCGAACGTCTTAAAGAGAGCGACCTAGTCCGCGACTCAGCCAGATCGGTAACCCTAATTTTTCTGTTCGGTTTCTAACATCTCTCGCCGCCGCAGCTGACGCCCCTTCATATCCAAACGTATTGGAGAAAGGAGTTATGGTGATCAAATCTAAATACGGCCTTCCCCAAAATCTAGATTTCCCACCTTTGTTCAATTTTCCACCATCGCCGATGAAGCCTGGTTGCTGATCGCTTCTTCTTGATCAAAACCAATCCGACCGATTCGATTATCTAGTTACCCTCATTGTTATAACAACCTGTTTTCCGGCGAGGAAAAACTTGTGTTTGAACACTATG